GGATGCTGTGTGCTCTGACCGCCCCGCCCCTGTGTACCTCTGGCCGTGGCTGATCTTAATCTACACCCTTTCCCTGTAATAAGACATAACCGTGAACAGACAGCCTCAGTGCATTCTGGGAAGCCCCTAGACCGCAGCTGGAGTCAGAAGCGAGGACACTGTAGCTCAGAGAGTGTGCCCTCGGACTTGGCAGAGTGGCCTAGACTCCGTGCAGAATTGTCAGAAGAGCCTGGCGGTTCTGATAGGCAGCCATGTCTGGGAACGCCCCCCCAGCCTAAGGCTGTACCCCACCCTGCAGAGGGGTCACCTGCTTTGCTCGAGGTCAGCTGCAAGGAAGGCGTTGGCTCTGGTAAAGGGTCCCAGAACCACCCCTCCACTCTCCGTCACCTGCTGCCCCTCCCAGAGCGGGACAGGCCCGAGCCGGGGCTCACCTGGCTCGCAGGGGCCCCTCAGGCAGGCAGGTGCTTCCAGGTGCTGACGAAGGCCGTGGGGATGAGCGAGTAGGGCACGGTGGTGATGCAGCTCCACGTGTCCGCCGTGGGGTCGTAGCAGTCCAGGGTCTTACACCGCTGCGTCCCGAAGTAGCCGCCCACCACGTAGAGCTTGTTGCCCGAGGCCAGGGCGTGGCAGGACATGCGCTTGGCGGTCATGTCCCCGATCCGCGTCCACTGGTTGGTCTCGCAGTCGAAGCGGTAGGCGGAGGCGGCCGTGAACTCCGTGTCGCCGCCCATGATGAAGATCTGGCTGCCCAGCACGGCCGCGGCCGTGTACCGCCAGGGCTGGGGGCACTCCGCCTTGATGGTCCAGCGGTTCTCCGCGGGGTCGTAGCACTGGACTTTGGACACCATGTCCCGGTGGATGCTGGTCCCCCCGAACACGAAGAGCTTCAGCTTGGCACTCACCACCGCCGCGTTGCTCACGCCGTCCCGCAGCGGCGACACCATGCTCCACTTGTTAGCCCCGGGGTCGTACTTCTCCACCTGCTTCAGGGACACGGACGGGGAGGCGGGGAAGACGCCCGCCAGGGACGTGTGTCCGCCCACCACGTACAGGCAGTTCTCCAGCTCGGCCGAGCCGTGGCCGAAGCGGGCGATCAGCATGGGGGCCGCCTTGGACCACTCTTCGTGGACCGTGTCGTACACCCACACGTCCTTGGACACCCCGTTCTCGGAGCCCCTGCCCCCCGTCACGTAGACCTTGCAGCCGATGGCCGAGGCGCTGAACTCCTTCCGGGGGCTGGGCAGGTCGGCCTTGGGGATGATCTCCTTTGCCTTGTGGTCCACCTGGTAGACCTTGTCGCACATGAAGGTCTGGCCGCCCAGGATGAGCAGCGTGTGGCCCGCCTTGCGCGGCCGGGCGCAGGGGCTGGTCACCACCCCGTCGTTC